CTCTGCTTTGTGGAGTTTAGTAATCCTGAAGAAAGGTGATGCTGGGGAATGGCTCTTCATCATTTTGATCTTGGGCTTAGGCTAATGACAGATTTTGGAAAGCCTTGTTTCCCACTAACAGCAGCATCACACACTTGGTTAATGCTGCAGGCTAATCGCAGTATCGATATTATTGACAGAGGCTATACTTAGTTTGATCCCTGTCAGAAACCTCTAAGCTTCCAGTCTTCAGTCTGGCCGCTTGCCTATCAGATGTGTGAGTAAGATGATAAGTGTAACCCCTAGCGTTCATCAAGTGCACGGAGATGTGGCAGAATGAAAGGAAGGTGGGGGAAAAAAACTTACCCCGAGGATGACAGTGTCTTCTCCTTGAAATATTGGGATGAACTTATCTCCGCGGATAATTTCGGACTGGTTCAGTGGACGAAATCGACATAACACCTTGATATTGCATTCACCGTTCGCATCGGCCATTGTGAAAATAAAATTTGTGGTTTAGCTTCCAAAGAGATAAAGAGGAGTTTAAAAAACAAAAATAATAGCCTGATTTAAAAAAAAAAAGCCCCTGTGCAACCTTTTCTCCTAAAGCACCTGCACGCAAACTGGAACCACCGGATATAGCCACATGCAAAGCGAGACTGGCAGGCGAAGCATTTGGAGTTTGGGGTTGCAAAATATTAAAAGAAATGTAAAATAAAAGCAAAACAGAAGCAGCTCCTGGGTGTTTACTAAATTGCCCTCAAATCAAAGCTGAGCTGCATCTCGGCGGCGGAGAACATATGGAGAGTTGTAAATGGGAAGTAGAGTCCAAACTGGTCCGGTCGGTCTGGATAGGCTGCAGGCTTCTCAGAGGCATGCCTTGCATCACTGTCAGTCCTGCTCTCTCACTGTGGGCGGGGCGTGGTAGCGACTCAAATCCTCTCTCATCAGCACCGCGGGCAGAGGGACCGAGGAGCAGGGAGGAGCGCTCCAACTCTGTCATATATACATGAATTAGCCTCCATGGAAACTTCTTCAATGTTTCAGATGCAGCAGCTGTTGCAAAAGCACGAAGTATTTCTGGCATTTACGGAGGCATTTCTGAAAACAGTAGTTTGTAAGGAGCGGGTCTAGGGCTGCACCAGTCTGGTCGTCATGGCAATGCTGTTTTGCATGAGAGGGTAGTCATGTGGGAACTAGAGGGTTCGTAATTTCCCCCCAGAGGCTTTCCAGTCTTAAGCAGTGCACTGTGAAGTTAATGAGAAGCCTTTGACACAAAACAAAAAGTCAGAATGATCAGATTCGCATATATCAGTAAACGGGTGAGATGTTATTTTGGGGGGAGTTCCCGCAGTGCACGTGTCTTGTATCAGACCCCGATTGGTAAATGGACATGTCTTTCAAACTCCGTGCCTTCAGGCTTGCAACAGACTTTTTTGGTATGCTTATTAAAATTCATGAAAATCGAAACAACCCAGACATCATCATCAGAGGGTTTTTTTAAAAAAAAGATTTCTATAAGATATTCAAGAGCTAAGCGGGAATGTATACAGCTGTCTTAGCAAGCCAATTACCCCTCATGATGAGTGAGCATCTTTCTGTGTGCATTAATTTCTTAAAGTCGGCTATACCGACTGCACTTGTAAAGGAGCATCCACTGCATATGCACTGTAAATGAGTTAGTTACATATTGTGAAATGTACATAAGTATATGACATAATTATAAATATTATTTTCAAACATGTCGATTTGAGCAGAAGAATATTGCACATCAGGGTTATTCATAAGTTGTTGACAGATCGACCACAGCAGTATTACAGCTTTTAGGGAGAAGCTGCAACGACATAATATAAGATGTGTGTTTATAATTTAATAACATGTAGGGGAAAAACACGACAACTTTGTTCTTTTCCTGATCGTGAATCATCCTATTAATCGAGGCGTGTTGATCGAGGATCTTTGAACCCATTGATCAAGTTGTTCTTAAAAACTCTCAT